CAAGCTACTAGCCTGTCCGATGCCACAATACTATTATTGTGGAGACATATAGTCCTCATCGGTTTGGAAGACAATTTGGCTTTTGCCAAGATGTTCCTGGAAATCTTAAGACTAATATTCGCTTAGGCTCAGTGGATGACTTATTGAAATTTTGGCAAACTTGCACGCTTTTTAACACTCAGTCAAGATTAATTTCTCCAGCTCGTCCCTTGAATATTAATGATCATCCCATTGCGAGTTATATGGAATGGTGGTCCCAAATTCATAATCCTTACCTTGAACATAGTGTTGAAGCTTTGATCTCTAGTACCCATCAAACTCCATCCAAGCGCTCAAGACAACAAAAGGAAAGACCTTCTAAAATAGAATAAGGTGAGAATCAAATCCTTGTTGCAACAAATCTTTCTAGTAGAGACGAACGCAAGGTACCTTCAAAAGCACAAAGCTTTCAATTACTTCCAAATACTGAACAAGCAATTCTTGAAAAAATTTCTGGGCACCAAGGTGCTATTGAAGATTCTGATAGTGAAACCGATCGTGAGAAACATTGAAAGTGAGTCACCCCAAAGAAACAAAAAGTATCATATCCTGCTGGCTTTTCATTTCTTGAAGACATTTTGAGTTGTTCTATACTTCCAGAAAACTTCAATGATTTGGTAATTGCATCATGAATTTGTGAATTTTTTTTTAACTATTCTGTGGAACTAACTTTCATTCTTTTTTTTTTTTAGGTTCAAAATCAAGATCCAACCAAGGAGGTTATCAATGAAGTGGTTCCTACTGTTAGCATAGCTTCAGTTTCTAATCCACATAGATTTAACAAGCTTGCAACAGAGGTAGAAAATCATTTTGCTCGAAAGATTTCAGACGCATCCTCAAGTCAAGAAAATATTTCTCCTCGTGTAATTGCTAAGGAAATTGGTGATGCTTCTAAAAATAAGATAGAGTTGTGGGTCGAGGCTAGTCATCTTGCATTTCCAAAAGCTTCTAAATTTAGTATTGATAAAGTGATCAATGATGGTCATTCAAAACTTGTCATGACTTTATGGGAGAGCATTTAACCAAAAATTATCAAAACTCCTTTCGATCAAGTTCCTTCTCTCACTACTGAGGTTCAAAAAGTTCTTGCTGCAATAGAAGGGGTCGAGACTGTGGATTCATTCTCATTGAGGAACATGATTGAAGAATACTTTGGACAAGTTCACAAATTTATTGACCTTGAATCATCCTTTAGTAGCATGTCTACAAAAGATCAAGATGAGAAGCTTGAAAAACTAGTTATTCGTCTCAAGGATGAGGAGTCTCTTAAGAGCAAATTTGTTAAGGAGGCCAATGGTTTGCAAGCTGAGTTAACAAATCTTGAAGAGGAAATAGATGCCTTGTGTCGCAAGAAGGGTGAAATTCAGTCTTCTCTTAAAGCAAATAAAGAAGAGGTGAAGATGAGGGAAGTTAATATTTTCGATATTAATGAAGAGATAGCTTTCATCAAGTCCTCTCCTACTTTGAGTGAAAGCGAAGTTAATTCCTTAAAATTGTTGCGAAATATGTTAGAATTTTCTCGAGAAGAACTAAAGAATTTCAAATGGAAGCCTTGATTTGATTACTTCCTTATTCATGTAGCTTTTTTTTACTAGGATTTAGACCTTTAAAATTTTCTTTCACATTGTAATGCATTTAGAATTATCAATAAAGATTAATTTTTTTATTGCTTTTCTTTACTTGTAAAAAAAAATTTTAAAGACAATCCTATGAAAACTTCAAAATACTTTATATTCAACAAATTTTCTTGGACACCAATTAAACTTCAAAACAATTCAACTTGAGATTGCAATTTGTTTCACTTGCAATTTAATTGATTAAATCGCATAACTTGACGAAGAAGTAGAAACTCGATCTTCTGTCTTGATAGCTCCATCATCATAAAGAATTGAGCCATGCTTAATGTAAGAGATTATTTTTTTATGTGACTGAACTTGGCAATGGAATCAAGTTACCTACGTACCTCCTAATATAAAGAAGGATCAAGTCATAACGTAGTTC